CTTGTGGGTATCACAGTCATCCCAAGAGAAATTGAAGACGATACTTCAGCAAAATTTTGGGGGAAAATAAGGTGTATATCGGAGATTTGAAAATGGCGAATTCAAATATTGGCTGACTTTACAGGAGTCATGTTGGTACAGAGAACAGAAGCGTTTCCTTCACTACTGGGACTTAGCTCCTTTTTGATGCAAATTCTGCGATACAAAAATCATTGTCTTGTTTTGTCAACAAACATACATGGCAGCCCAGTCTGCAGAGTATAGAAGGTGCACGCGCGAGATTGTTTTAACAATAAGTAATAAGGGCCCAAAAACGGCCTTGCACGCGAGAGATCTCGTCAAGATCTGCCAAACTCTGCAGACGGGATGGTAGCCTTACATGTCCTCTTAATGCAGTTTGAGTCAGGAAAAAAAACCCGTGTAGTCGTTCATAAATTTAACTTCTTACATTAATTAAAGGAATGGTAGTCTTTACCAACTTTCTGCGCTTTCATGAGAGCCTACCTTTAACATATAATAACGTCCGGGTCAACCCAATTTGTGATCGCTTTGTGGAACTTTGTGAGCTTGTTTCCCGTTGCTGAAGTAGCCCATTTTTATACATGTAAATTAGCTAAACGACGATGAATAAGCCACCAAATGGTTAGCCCTTTAAGCCTCGGTGATGAGGTTCAATACAAACGGTGAAATCAGTGTAAAGTTGTAGCTCCAAACACGCGCGCCACTTTCCAGGCGCCATCTTGGTTTCTTCTAGGTCCCAGGCTTCACTCAGCGTTAAGAAGTGGGTGTAGTCGGAGAGGTGGTTGAAGGGAGGGGCACGGGGGCACGGGGGCACAAGCCCCCATATTATTTTTCTGCCAAGATGAGGACCTCAGGGCCTAGAAAAATTATTTTAGAACTGCGACTGCACAGAATCCATATTATTATCAAGGAAACTGAAAACTTTACAGTCAAGAAGACGTTAGCAGGGACTGATCAAACAACGTGAAATAGAGTTCAGTTACGATATTTCGATAGGCCAATACCAGTCTTCATCAGGTTTATTGAGATATCACGAATTTACAGAAATATATATGAAGTAAAATAATGACCTGAAATTACATAATATGACGTGGTATGGTGTGGTTACTTTTACAAGACAAGATAACAAAAAGAAGAAGTTTCCTGGCTTATCTGAGGACCATTTTAAGACTTGCCTTTTCCGCAGAAGTAAAAAATAAACACAAGGGTTCAAGATTCCAAAATAGCATTAGCCTGTGCTAGGCTCTCAGAAAATAAAACAAGCTTCCCTGCTAGCAGAGGCTTCTTACGGAGTTGTGAAAAGTTTTTATTGCATGACTGCACTAGTTATCTAGGAGCTTGGAACAAGCTTAAAGGGCATTGCCCTTGCTTCTCTCAGTAAACACATTCAATAAATACAAGTACAATATTCCCCTTAACTCTGTAAACTATATTTTAAACTACAGAGCATCTTAGGGTATGCCAACACATAACTTGCATAATGTATTATCAGTTTTAAGTTGACAATTTAAATTATTCGCTGATAGCAATAAACTGCTAAAAATACAAAGTTACATGTACTGCTGGTAGCAGCCGAAACCACCAAAATCCTTGAACCATTAATATATTTACAAAATTAATAGTGTCATCATCACTTCATCTAAAACAGCTGTCTAGAATGCTAAATACAAGAACTTGAAAAAATATTTAATATTTGGGCACTCAATTCCTCTAAGAATCACCTTTTTATATATACTTTGAAGGCCTGTTTATACGAGGCCAGCTGGCCTAATAAGCTGAGCTTGCCCACTCTACTAAACTGGCTTGGCTCATACATTATTTCCTCATAAAATGTTCGTAGTATTATGTGAAAAGGCGGGCTGGCCTGCTTGCCAAGATCTGGGTTTAAGCAACCAAGATCTCATTTCAAGCAACCAAGATTTAACGGCCCTCTTATACAAACATATCAAAGCCTAACAGTTCTTACTTAATAAACAGCCCTCGCACTATGCACATGTGGCAATTTGCCCCTTCTTGCCACTAATTTCAACCTGGAATGCCATTATGGAAAAAAACTTTTTTTGCTCTTTCTACCAGTAAAACAATTTGGAACACTTTGTGGCAACGATTTTATTTTCCTTAAAATAATTTGACTTTTGAATAAAATTCTTTGACGATACCATATTTCTGGCAACTCCATAAAATATAACGAAACAGTTAAACATCTATGCAATCCTTTACTCTCTAACTGTAACAAAGCTAAATTTGCAGACATCAGTTGTGTTATTGATAAATGTCACGCATGGAGTGCGTTTTGGAAATTGGATCGTGTTTGGAAGTCTCCTGCATCACTCCAACAAAAGGTTAAACTTTCAAAAGCGTCAGCTTTAAGCGTGATTCTATATGGCTGTGAGTCTTGGGTCCTAACATCTGACGTCTGTGGTCAACTTGATTTCTTCCAAACGTCTTGCCTTAGAATCACTTGCATTTCTTGTACTGATCATGTTAGCAACGAGAAAGTCTATGATAGAACGAGAACAGTCCCCCTTTTCCCAATCAGTTCAAGCTCGACAGATCAGATTCCTGATTCCTAAACCAAGACCTGGGCCCAGTTGCTCGAAGCATGGTTAGCGTTAACCAACGTTTAATACCTCGACAACGTATTGGTTTTGATACTGCTTAACCAATGGTTAAAGCTAACCATGCTTTGAGCAACTCAGCCCCTGGTGGACGTAAAAATATATTCAATGAATATACAACAAAGCTAATTAATCCAGAACCCCACCCCCTCCCCAACCCTTCCTCACGAAATTCGTAATTTGGAAGGCTTTTTATCTATCTAAAACATCACCAAACACGATTTTATTGGCATTTTTAGGCAAAAAACGAACGAACAAAGCCAAAGTCAAATAGGACCGAAATTCACACAATTCCCCCCCAAAATAATACTCTTTCAAATACAAAAGTACAAAAATAACGTTTTTATTAAACATTCGACAGCTACGTCAATTTTCCAAGCAGAAAAAGTAGTCGAGCTGGGTCTCCTTTCACTGGTTTGCACGTTTCACACGAAAATCCTCCCTGCTCGATTGACTGTGAAGGATATAGCTGGCTACAGTCTATCATCGTATACACTAAAAATACAGTGTCGTACTTATAACAAAATAATTATTACTTTTATAATTTTAGACAATTTATTTCTTTAATTTCAAGCTGAAGACTTGAGTTGTTAAAAATACTTCATTTCACTAAGTTTACATGAGAATAAATTTACTGCACGACTGTTGATATTTTTTTACAATGTTAAAAGGGAGAGAGAGGTTGAATGGTAAAAGATGTCAGAATAAACGGCTGCCCATATTCATGAACTTTTTAAAGCTCATTAAGTTTCAGTAATTCTTCACATGCAAGGATACTTTCCTGTGGTGCTGGTTAGAATGTGTGTTTTGTTTTAACTGAATCAGTTTCTCAAACAAAAGCAAAAAATTAAAAAAAAATAAACACTAGCAAAGAAAGTCATTATTCTGCGCAATCAAAATAGGAGTAAAGAATCCAAATCAACCAATCAGATCTCGGCGCGGATATCATTCGAAGGTGTCAAGGGCGGGAAAACTCACAATAGCAAGTCACGTGAGGTTTCTGTTTTGCTTTTAATTGGTTGAGAAACTGGCGCGAGATCTGTCAGCCAATCACAAAGCGCAGTAATGAAATCCAACGCTACCACAGTATTAATAAAGGCTTTGTTACAATGCCTTTGTGAAAATATATAAATAAATCTGCACGTGAAGACAGAAAATGTCGGAGACTAATAAGCAGTACTATCTCATACTGAGATTTCACTTTAGTATATTCGGTAGTTTACGAAATAAACAATCCAAAACTCTTGCCTATGAATGGTTTGTGTTAAATAAACGAACAGTAACCTGTTACAAAATGAACGGCTAGTTTTCTTTCCACGTATAACAATATCTGAATAAATAACGATATATTTTTTTGTACAAAAAATGTGTATAGAAAGTTTGTATCGAGTTTCATAATTACAAGTATAATTATTATAATCATTATCATCATAAGAAATAGTTTCCGTGTCATTTCGTAAAAAATAGTCTAAAGAGCAAACGGGTCAGTTACAAAATCCAAATTATATTAATCATATTACAAATCTTCTTGGCACAATCAATAGGTTATCTGAAAACAAAAACAGAATTTAAAAAGTGAGACATGGACCAAACAATCACTTATATCTTTCGTAAGGGCGCTTCTGGTCGCCTCTAGTTTGTTTTTCGGTCGAACTTATAGAGGAAGACGACGCCTGCGAGAGCAACACCAAGGAAAAGATTTTAAAAGTCATGATCAAACTAACTGCTTTGCGCGCTTCCTTGACTTTCCCACAAAAGGAAAATCTGCAAAATGCCGAATCTTTGCGGCATTTTTTATTACCACGCCAAGCTTTGAAATTAAACCTGTTAACAATTCAGGGCCCCACTGAAACCGCTATTATTATTACTATTATTATTATTATTATTATTATTATTATTATTATTATTAAAACAATCGACTTAACATGGGATAAAAACGAAGCCCCCACGCGGCGTGGGTCTTGCTTTAACGGAACCACACAAGCGTCTGAAGTCTTTTCTTGGCACGCCTCATAGCCAGCGAAAAACATGTCACTTATTTCAGAGCCAACTTCAGCTGGTGTCAAATGTGCAGTGCTTTGCGTAAGTTTAACGTGATTGAAGGTTAAAAAGCGTGATAAGATTGCGATCTACGCGTTACGTTGGATTCATTTTTAGTGGAAGTCTGAACGGATGTTGGCTTAAGACTTACCACGCATGCGTAAAAGCAAGATGGAAATTAGGATTGCGGGCTTCTCGGGTCGCGCGCATTTCAATATATTTAGTTGTTCGCAAAGCAATATGGGCATAAGCTACCTACGGTGAAAGACAAAGTGTCTTACAAAATGGACAAAACGAAGTGTATGTTAACGGGAATCTACCCTACCTAGATGGGGTGTTTCCACTTGTGTTTGACGCAGAAGGACTGGTACTAGGACTTGGAATCGCCAGGTCTAGGATCCACGTCATGCAACAGTGAAGAGCCTGGAGCAAAGAAAGATAAAAAGCACAGATGTTTCGAATTTCTCCAGTTACGTTCTAGGATTTGGTGCTGAGAAAACGCCCTTGACGCTACCCCTCAAACTCGTTTCCATTCGTCAGCCGTCACTATGGAAACGAGGAAACTAGGCCGAGTTAATGACTTTAGCCGCGCAGACTCCTGGGATTGTTGCTAGGGACAACGATCCCAGAAACAATTGCGGGACACATTTCGGCTCCTGTCTCCTTCTCGTTTCTAAAGTGGCGAACGGTTTGTTATGGAGACTTTTAGAGTAATATGCCTCATCTTTTAGAAGTGGATGAAATCTCTCAGTAGTCCAGGATTTAACACCTCGACCATACTCTCAAATGGCATAGCCAAATGGTTTGTTTTACGCCAGATGGAATTTTTAACCTTCTGTTGTTTCATTTAATTGTTACGAATTGAATCATCTGTTGAACTGATAAATTTGTTACCTGTTGCCACCTCGTGTTGAGTTCATCCATCGTCTGCTGCACGGACTGGAATTCTGTCGAGGAGCAGCATTCACGCATGGACTTGCCTTCTTGCAGCAAAGACTTTAACTTCGAGTAGTTCATGTTGATTAGTCGTTGTAAACCCTGATAATAATCAATGATTTGAACGAACAAAAAAATTGTTATTTTTTAACACCATGAATCGCTCGAACAAAGTATACCTTATCATTAAGTCACTTGGGACATAACACGCAACCTTTTGTTTGCTGACCGCTGGTCCAGATTTGAACAAAGGCCTTCGATAAGAGGACCACCAGCAAGCATACGATAGGTCATGTTTTACACCCTGAAGGACTTTTACACCCAAAACCTCAGCCTCAGTTGTAATGATCAATAACAATAATAATAATAATGATACCAATTATTTAAACACGATTAAAAATTCAACAAAGCTGATGTGGTCGTACGCATAACAATAAAATTAAACTTCCTGACTAATCACAATACAAACTAAAATAAGAATTCTACGCATTTACAAGAATAAAACAAGATTCCGTCACAGGTCCAATTCGCCACAATAGAAAGGAGAAGAGAAGGGGGCGAGTTATTTGTCGCAAAGACTTCTGGGACTGTTATTAGGGACAGGGGAAAAATGGCAAATAGCTGACAGGCGCGTCACCAGTCACGATCCCAGAAACAATTGCGGAACACATTTCGGCACCAGGTTCCCTATTCCCTATTATACAGTGTATTACAGTGGAAAACCAATAAAGCGAAGCCTGCTATCGGCCAGCTCGAGGCGTGAGAATACGTGAGACTGAGACTATGGCACTGTCTTGAGGGACGCATTTGGACCCAGTGTCTTGTGTCAGTGCCAGTAAGGACATTTTTTTCCCTATCGTTAAACTTCTACTAGTGGTTGATTCTCAGTCTCAAAGTCAACTGACTATACCTTGAGTTTCTCAAGTTGGACTCGCGGCTCTGTGTCTGACGTGTAAGGATCGAGAGAAATTAACTTCAGTTCCGTTTCCGTGAGAAAGCTGTACACTTCCTGGCGAAGCTGTTCGAACTTCTCTGCTCTGCCTGTCAGCTTCGTGTGTCTATTTACAAGGCGCTCTACACGGCTATTCATAGCCTGCCAACGAGCTTGTGCGGACTCCACACCGAGTCTGATATCGGCTGCAGTACTCGTGTTAACGTCCAATAACAAATATTTACTCCGCTTAACTATGCGTTCCATCTGGGGTCGGTGGGAGGTGATATCTTTGAGAAAAACCTATGACCACAAACAAAGAATTAATTACGTCGATGTTGGCACTGTAAACTTGTGGCGACCTTGCATGCCTTAACCATTTGAATCCCAATATCTGATTAGTACATGTAATTCTCACATTTTACTTTACATTGGTTAAGAGAATTTGATGTTATATCAATACGGCATTGACTGATAAATTTATCTACTTTCACCACCTATCTGTTGGACAATGCTTTCATATGATATGGAGAAGTAATATGCCAATCTCTTCTGGGAGTTATAGCGATTTTACTTGACCCGTGAAACAGTTTGTAACAACTAGTGCAAAATAGCTACAAATAAACAAAAGAAGACAATATAATTAGTGCATAATAGTGCGTGGTATTGTACTACCTATTTCACAGGTTAAGTAAAATCACTCTAAAGGGTTAAAACATCAACACGACATGAAGCTTAGTGTATCAAGCTTAGTGTATGAAAAGAGGGATCGAAAAACGAGACGCAGCAGGGTTTGTCCCGGCTCAACTTCGTGTAGACTGAATATCGCAGTAAACACAATGTCGAGAGATAAATATAGCTCTCAAATGATCAATAATTCTTAAAGACATTCCTACTTAGTAATTTTCAAGGAGTTATCATAACTCCTCTAAGGGGGCTAATTTAACTCCTTGCAGTGGAGTTATTTTGGGGGGGGGGTTACTTTAACTCCAAAAAGGAGTTTAAAGAACTCTTTCTCAGGAGTAAAAGTGACCCGCAGATATTGAGGAGTTAAAATAACCCCCAAAAAGGAGTTATCCTGTACCTACAATTTTTACTCCACTTTCAGAGTTAAATTAACTCCAAAAAGAGTAAAAACAACCCAGACTGGGAGTAAAAAGAACTCTTTTTCAGGAGTAAAAATGACCCCAAATTTGGAGTTAAATTAGGAGTTAAAGTAACCCCAAAAAAGGGGTTATCCTGTACCTAAAATTTTTACTCCACTTTTGGAGTTATAATAACTCCCTAAAAATTACGGTGTATTGAAAGTTGTGGTATAGTCAAACCCCGCCTTACGGACCCCCGCTTTACCCGGACACCTCATTATTACAGACAGTTTGCTTTGTCCCTGGGGAAAGAAAGCTCTTACTCTTCCTCTAAATTCAACCCGCTTAATACGGACACCCCTTTAATACGGACAATTTCTATGGCCCCCTCAGAGTCCCTATTAACGGGTTTAACCGTATTTGGTTTTTGCTTATCTCACCTCAAAACTTTTAAGTCTGCTTTTAGAGATCGCCAATCCTGATATCAACCCTTCTTCGGATCTTTTCACTGCGTTCTCCGTTTCCTCAATCCATTCCACAAACTTTTCGTATTCATTCCAAAACTCTTTACACAGAAACAGCCTCTCTTCAGCTTGCCTCTTTTTGGTCGCCACGGCACGGCGAACATTTGACCAGCGGTTTTCAAAACTCTCCCTAGTTCTCTGTAGGCTGTGACGATCAGCTTCAGATGGGCAAGCCACGCGATCACGTCGAAGTTTCTGTCACAGAATGAATTACTTGTAGTTAGTGTTACAACGTACAATGACCTAGCTTTCGCTAAATAAGCTACACAATATAAGAGCTTATCTGCATCTGCTTAAACATCTTAAAGGCAAATCTTAGACAACAGAAAGGTTTTCACTTTTCTCAAACGAGTATAACCTACAAGCGATTACTACGTAACATGTTATATGTACCTCACAAAGTCGAAGAACCGTTTGTACATCAGTGGCGCGTCTTTCAACATCGGACTCCGCGTCCTAAAAATTATAAAAGTAAATGAAAGACCTGTTTAACGAAGGCAATGGGGAAGTAAACAAATCAAGTGACTAATTTAATTTGTGTAAAGGGTCTTTTGCAGAATACGGTCACATGGTACAAAAACAACTTGCTGGATAACAAACGACGCTGAGAGGCAAAAAAACCCAAGAGATTAAATCAACATTCTTACTTTTCAAGGTCCCACTGCTTTTTTTGTTTATTTTGTACCATGTGACAGTATTCTGCAAAGGGCCCTTGGGTCATCACGTTGACTATAACTGGTTTTCAATTTTACCTTCATTTCTTTCACTTTTTTGTGAATCTCCGCTACGACACACAATCGCACCACAGTGAAATCCACCAATCGGCTTTCCAGCTCAGTCATCCACGTGTTCAGTTGCTTTAGCTGAATCTCAAGAAGTTTCAGCCCATAGCGAGTCTCTTCGGCCTTCTTGTACGTAATACCCAACTGCTGACACAAGGCGCGCCAGCGGTCATTTAAATGCTTCTGCTTCTCGGCTACTGCGCCTGCGTAAGGCGTGCCGCCCGCCTTGCTAATGACGTAATAAGCGCTTTCGTTCATGGTAGATCTGGTTGCTTCGTGACTCTCGATATCCGCAACGTACACCTGTGTGAAGAGACAAACATCTTATGAATATTTACTCAATCTTGTCCTTTGCACTTAAAAGTAAAGTGGCTTCATTCTATCCCTTTTAAGAAATACAGCTCAAACTTCAGTGTCTTTTGACGCGATGCTGTGGTGTAACCATCCAAATGAAACCTCTTGAAAAGTACTTTGTCATGATGCTATTTATTTCACAATATTTTTCAAAATGGATTTCCCTTTTTCTTGTCATTCACTGATGGGTACACAGACATTGTAACTGAGCTAATTACATCTAGGAGACAAACCTGGAAAACAGTATCTCCTTCATCATCCGGGATACTAAGAAACGACTCCTCAAGATCACGTGACACCGACGACTCGATATTTGCGAGCCAATCAGACAGTGTCTCGTGCAGCCGACTAAATTCTTCCATTTGTCTCAGAATGTCAGCGGAGGTCTGAATAGAACTTGATAACAGGCGACAAACATTCCCCCACAGGGTGGTCATGGAGGCCACCTGCTTTCTTATTCGCTCTGAATCGTACTGGTCAGTAGATTTTGAAAGCTCTTCAGCTCGCCGGGAGATTTTCTCCAGCTGTGGTTTTCGCACCTCGATTTCCCCTGCAGTGGCCTGTTGAAACAAAAGAGAAGATACAAGGTCGTCGCTACTTTAGAACCGAGAAGGAAACTGGGCCGACTTAACTTTCGGACAGGGAAAACAAGCTGGCCAATAGCTGACCGGCGTGTCTCCAGTAACAATCCCAGAAGTCTTTGTGACAGCTAACTAGGCCGAGTTTCCTCATTTCTTAAGTGGCGAACAGGGATGTGGCGACTGGAAGGGGATAGAGTAACCTACGAGCAGGCTCAATTATGCAATACGGGGAAGGTCTGGCAGCGGAGGCACCATTGCATCGTGCGATCACTTTTCCTCGCACGATGTCGGCTCCACCGCCGAAATCTTCCCCCAACTAGTACAAATGAGCCTGCTCGCAGGCTAGGGAAAGGGCTTGGCAAGTACATTTTTATGAATGAAAATTATCGCTTATTTTGAAATTGAAAACACACACAAAGTTTGCCCAAACCTTTCAGTCACTTTTTTGCAGTCTACAAATATTCTAGAATGTTCTGTAAGTGCCAGTTAGCACTAACAATGACATCACAATTATATCAATTCGAATGTGCCACATATCGACTTTCCAGTCAAAACAGCATTCTTTCTTCATGGCGGGATGTTTGTCTCATACACCTAGTTTAACGGACCTAACGGATTAGTCTCCTGTAGCGCACTGGTAGAAAATATGCACTTGAAACCAAAAGGTTATGGGATCGACTCGTAACGGAAGAATTCGGATTTTCTTTCTACGTGGGCTTCGTCATTGGATAGAAAAAAGGAAAAAAAACTATCATCCTCAACTTATCTCAGGGTTTGCGACAACCGCCTTTCGAGCAGCTGGGTCCACGTCGTTTTTCTCCCTCTTTGCGGAGAAGAGAAAGAATGCGTCACTTCAGAAACGATAAGGGGACTTGTGCCGAAATGTCTCCCGCAAATGTTTCTGGGATAGTTACGCGGGACTAGCTCGTCAGCTATTGGCCAGATTTTCCCGTGACCCCAGTAACGGTGCCAGAAGCCTTTGCGAAAGTTAACTTGGCCCAGATTTCTTCCAGTTCTAAAGCCCGGCATGTGAAATACTCTTTTACCTAAATAAATACTCTAAGCCTGTTTTGTATTGATCAATAATCACCTTCATGGCGTCAACTTCTCGTTCAAGCTCCCGGTATGTGGCCGCTTTGGACTGAGCCCTGAGTATCTTCTCTTTATCTCTCAACCACACCATCAAGTTTTCTGTCAGTGAGGTGTATTCCTGCCAATCTTTAAGTGACAACTCCAGCTGTTGTTGGTTCGTCGTGACTCGATTCGTGATCAGAACCCATCTTCTCGTAACTTTCTCAAGTTCTTTGGCGGCCTGACTACTTAGATTTCCCTTGCATTCGTCGATAATTCGCTGACCTGTGAAGCAGACATCGTTGTAGTCTTGCCTTCGAGCGTTGATCTCTTTTTGGCACATCTGACGGAACAGAAATGTGTTACATAGCATTTAATTACTTAAAAATCGCTTTCCGTCAATGGCGGTCTCATCATGCACTGTACATGTATCTATTCGTAAACTTTAGATCTGAGTAAAAGCACGAGATTGAAATTTCAAGCCCGTTATGTCTGCCAAGTCTTTATCGTTCTTGTTGCTGACTAGCACAAAGAAAATTAAAGGGACAAGATCGTATGACAAGCGACGAACGGCTTTTGAAAACTTAAATAATCATAATCTCGTCCTTATAGTTCATTCTAAGGGTCGCTAGTATCTCTCTTATTACCATTGACGCATTTCATTGTTTACACCCATTGGTCACTTTATACCCAAAAGCTAAGGGAAAACGACAAAGGAGATGTAAGAGGATTTAACGACATGGCTAATTTTATATGAAAGAAGATCATCGCAGTTATAGACGCAACTTTTGCAGTTGCGAAAAGAAAGCCTGAAAAAATTCAAGCTTGTACGGGATTAAACCCTTGACCTCTGCGATACTGGTGCATCTTCTTTCATTTATTTCTTCACCTCACAGTTTTCATATATGATTTTCATATATTCATAACTTCAAGGCTAATTTTGCTAGTATGGTCATTATGAGTCTAGAACTTTCCAAAATTTCTAGTTACAAATATCACCAAAGAATCTCAAACCTTGACATGTTCAAAGTGAACTTTCATCTGTTGAATACTGGCAGAAGAGGGGACTGTAAATCCCCTGTGAGTCTCAATATCATCCATCCATTTCATTAGGTCCTCAATTGATCTTTGGAAGTCCTTTAATCGATCAACTTGTCGCCCAATTTGTTCTTTATAGTCGTCTGCGCGTCTAAGCACCGAACTCCACAGCTGACGAACGCGTGACACATTATCATCCAAGCGTGACTTGTACCTGTCACAGACAACGCAATAGTAAGAAGAAAATTTTAAACCCTCCGAGTGACCAACATTAATTTTCTTCTACGAATATCAATAACTAAACAGGTTACAAGAATCAATAAAATGATCACAAAGTGGAAAATGTTACGATCTGTTAACAAAGTTCTCAAGTATTTTTTAAGGAAATGTATGGAGGTCGATCAGGAGATATTTGGGCTTAAAGAGATTGCATCAATTTAAAGACTTGGACAGGTTTTAACAAATGAAAACCAAAAAACAGTACCACCACTAAACAAAATTTTAATTGCTAACACTTTA